AACCAAGGGACTGGCCTTGAGCCCCGGCCTTTGCAGAAGAGCACTGGCTGGGGTCCTGTCTGCAGAGTCTGGCTTCCTGAGACACATGCGTTCATTGTGTCTGAGGAAACCAGACACGTCATCATCTGCCAGGTGCTGATGCCTCCAGGCCCACGCTGGTCCCAAAGCCTTCGACTCACAGGGACCCCATGGCACGGAGTAGGACGGCTTCTTTGGGTTTCCCAGACAGAACTTGCTATAGGAGCACACAGCCTCCTATTTCTTCCGAGGAGAGGCTGTGGATAGAAACACCGACCAGGTTGGCCAGTCGTGGCCAAAATGAGTGCAGCCTGCCTGCGTGGAGCAGGTGACCTGGTAGGGGACATGCTCATCAGAGGTCTGTACTGAGGGCCATCACTGGTGCCAAGAGATGCGGATGGACCCAGAGATGATGCAAAAGAGGCTTTCCCCTGGGCTGGGTGATATGGGGGGCATAGGAGGCATTGTCCTTGGGTGCCCTTGAGGTAATTCCAACTTAGGGTGACCCTGAAGCTGCCCCATAGGACTTTTTGTTTGGCTGTAATTTTTTTTTTAAGCATGAAGAATTTATTTAATAGCTAAAAAAGAGAATCTGAAATAATTTGACAAATGTTTTTGTAGATGAGGACCTTTAAGAAAAGGATTGGCTAATCGAATGAATGAATGTAATAATGAGGAGCCCTGGTGGTGTAGTGGCTGCGATCTGCATGGTCGGCAGTTCGAAACCACCAGCAGCTTCGTAGGAGAAAGACTGGGCTTTCTACTCCCGTCCACAGTTACAGTCTTGGAAACCCACAGGGGTCACTGAGGCAGCATGGGCTGGATGACAGGAGTTTGGTTTGGGGAATCTAAAGTCGATCCTGACATTGAAGGTCCATCTCCTTGAAGGTGGGAGGAATCTGAGCCATTTCAGGATCCCTCCTGAATGCCTGCCAGCACCTTTATTGAAGCAGATTGCTTCCAGGACTTTCTCTGGGTGGATTCAAACCACCAACCTTTTCATGTGCACCGAACACTTAACCACTGCGCCACCAGGTCTCCTCATACTAAGTAGAGGGGACAGCAAAAAAAAAAAATCGAGACATGGTGGCTGAATTGTAACAAAGGAGCGTGTGTGTGTGTGTGTGTGTGTGTGATCTATATATATATATATATATATATATGACCAGCTGTCGTGTTAGCACTGTAACTTCAGCTGCTATGCAGACGGGGAGCAGAGCAGGTGGATCTGCCCCAGCCTTGGACCAGGTGGAGGCTGGAGTGGGGAGAAGAGGACCCTCATCTTCCGCAGGCCTGGGAGCCCTGGTGGCCCGCCTTTTTACAGTCTGGGTTTCCAGGCTGCCTTGATGCACTCTGGTGCCCTCCTGCCCTTGGCCTGCTGCAAAAGTGGTGTTAATGCCTCTATCTGTCGCGGGGACCCTGATACCGGCAGCAGGAGGAGAGGGGCCACTTGGGGTCTCGGGCCTAGGCTGTGAGCCCCCAGGTTGCTGGGGAAATTGAGTCACGTACAGACTCAGCCTTCTGGAGGGAAAGGCCTGGGGGCAGTTCTAGGAGGTCCTGGAGTTCTCTCTGGAGTCCAGTGCCAGGCCCCCTGGGGTGCTCCAGGAACATGGAGAAAATGCCAGTGCTGGCTGATTCTGCCTGGGAGGGAGAGGTGGGGCCTGTGCCTGATTCATCTCCACCTTCCCCTGAACCAAGGGAAGGCCCTCTTGTGAATTCCATCCCAAGTGACTGGAGTCTCTCCATTCCTTTTAGCTGCGGTTGGCTTTCTCAGCTCAGAATGATCTTTGGACTAGCTCCCGAGCTACACGCCACTGACCCACAGCCGAGCCGGGGTCTGGAGACTCTCCAGGAGCTGGGGGGCCGTGGATTGGCTGATCCTCAGGTCCCAGTGGCCTCTGCCCCGGGCTAGGAAGGTAGAGGGAAGCCTGCAGGGCCTGTGTCTCTGACCCTGCCTAGGCGGGAGAGCCGGTAGCTGCTGCCGCCAGGGGATCGGCCATCCCACAGAATGTGTTCCTTTGGGCAGGGGATGGGACAGAAGGACGGAAGACCCTGACACCAAGTCCCACTTTGCCTTTGAAAACCTGGTGGGAGACTGCCCTCCGGAGGTGGCGTGACAGTCTGGGGACAGGCAGGTGCCTGTCCCTGAGCTCCCAGCCCTGCGAGGTATGCGGCATGATCCCCGTGTGTCAGGTGGAGAAACAGAGGCTTGTCCAGTGTGATTTGCTGAGCTCGCGGAGGAGCGTGGGATTCTCCCTGGCAACTTCCAAAGCCTGGGCACCTCCTCCCACCCTCCCAGGGTCCAGAGAGGGGTGTGGTGGGCTTGGTCTTTAGTGACTGCCCCCTCTCCCACCCCGGTGCTCCCTCTGTCCCTTTTGACCACTGGGAGGAGGAGATAGTATGGCTGATGGAGCTTTCTGGTGGGTGTGGGGCTGTGGGGCTCTTTCAATCCTGCCCTAAAGGGTGGGCGGCTATGAACAGTGTTCATGATCAGCGGTGATCAGGAGGGATGGTGACTGCCACCTGGAATATTTACTGGGTGACTACAAGGGCTTCTGGGAGCTGAGCACCGAGGGGAGACCCTGACAAGAACAGAGGAACAGCATTGGAGGCAGAGGGAATGGCAAGTGCCAGGGCCCCGGGGTGCAGGGAGTCCGGTCAGGGGAAGCCAGTGGGCCAGAGGGCCAGATTCAGCAAGATCCTGGGGGTGGGTTGGGGCAGGGCCAGCACTGAGGATTTTCTCAGCCCCACGCCCACATTCCTCTAAGTGCAATTCTCCCTGTTCTGCTTCCCCACACTAGCACTGTGCCCTTAGGCAAGTCACCTCTCTGAGCCTGTCTCCAGGCATGGAGAATGGCTCTGAGGGTCTCACCAGCGAGAGCTATAGAGCTGTAGCGCACTGCCTTCCAGCCGCCTGGCTCTGGGCAGCCCACGTGTTACAGACCAGGGCCGCTCGTGGCTTTTCCTGGCTTTTCCAAACCAAACTCACTGCCAGTCCGT